ATTTATTTTAAATACAAATCCCAGTTCCTTCTGCCTCCCTCTCTTCCTTTTACTCCCCCCACCCTCTCCCCACCCCACCCCACCCCACTCCTCTGCTCAGAGTGGTCCAGGCCACCCATGGGGAATCATCGAAGTCTGTCACATCATAGAAGAAAACTTTGCCAATCTAAAGAAGGATATGCCTATGAAAATGCAAGAAAGCTGTGTTATAAAATGTTAGATACAAAATGAGTTAGAAATAGTAGGTTGTTGTGTTTTCCAGCTTTCTGCTAAGCGAGAAACAAGTGGAGAGAAATCTAGACAATTAAGAGATGCCCAACAGGATGCGAGAGATAAAATGGAGGTAAGATTATAAATAAGCTTCAGATTTATATGTTCAGCATTGCAAACTTTTTGTACCAGAATTGTGGGACGTAACCATAAAGGGGAGTGGCAGTGATTGGATATTGGAAAGTAATTGTTGTGTTAAGTTTTAAATGAAAGAAAAAGTCCTCTTACCCTGCCACGTGCTGTGTCAGGTCTGCTCTCAAAGTGTGTGTGCTTGCAGGTCACAGATGTTTGTAAAGGTGTAGGTGGTTGGTGGCGTCATGGTCCTTCCACTGTACTCTTCTGTTTCTCACCCATTTTCTCTTTCTGGTTAGGATATTGAGCGCCAGGTTAGAGAACTGAAAACAAAAATTTCAGCAATGAAAGAAGAAAAAGAGCAGCTTAGTGCTGAAAGACAAGAACAGATTAAGCAAAGGACCAAGTTGGAACTTAAAGCCAAGGATTTACAAGATGAGCTAGCAGGCAATAGTGAACAGCGGGTAAGTTGATGAATAAAAGATGTGTTGATGAGGCCCACTATAGAAGATGACCCTTTTCTGTAATGGTTAAGTTTTTGTAAAAGGTTTGCCACATTTGATTTGTGGCAAGTATCTACTTAGTAAGTGCTCTTTTTATTAATAGCTTAGTTGTATAATTGAGTTATTTTTCATGAGGAAATGTTTTTTGCTGATGTATAAACTAAGCAGATTGCATTTTACTTGCTTCATTTACAGAAACGTTTATTAAAAGAGAGGCAGAAGCTGCTTGAAAAAATAGAAGAAAAGCAGAAAGAACTGGCAGAGACAGAACCTAAATTCAACAGTGTGAAAGAAAAAGAAGAGCGAGGAATTGCTAGGTCTGAGAATTTGCATCAACCATTAACCCTGTTGCATAGTTGTTACCAATGATGTCTGGGTGGTTTCAGGTTCTTAGTCCCTTGTTCAAAGAATTGGGAAAGAGGCTCACATAAAAGAAAACCTGTTGTTTTGTATAGAGCAAAGCAGAAATACACATTTGAACACAAACAGGTAGTTATCAAGAGGTTGCTAAGGGGAATAACTTACTTCCTTTGTTTGAAGTGGGGCATACGTGCAGCTCAATGCAGGTAGGGGTCTTAGGTTGCCAACAGGTTGCTAGTTTTGCAAGTCAAGTGGAGCTCATGTTGCTAAGCTCCTGTATTTGCTTGCCTGAGTTCTGTAGAACCTGCATAGCTGTGGGTTAAGAAGGTACTAGCGTAATTATTAGGCGCGCAAGTCAAGTGGAGCTCATGTTGCTAAGCTCCTGTACTTGCTTGCCTGAGTTCTTCCATAGAACCTGCATAGCTGTGGGTTAAGAAGGTACTAGCGTAATTATTAGGCAAAAAATCATAGTCACACTTCATATAACCAATGCTGTTTTTGTTTTTGAGATGGGATCTCATTTTATAAGGCTGGTTTCTATGTGCCATCATACCCATGATGCTTTTGTACCTATAAGGTCTAGAGAACTACTACTCAAAAGCCCTAGGAGATTGGACGTGTCTTTATAAAGGAAGACAGTCTTCCTTTATAGCTCTAGCTCACCTTGAACTCAGATCTGTCTGCCTCCTCGGTGCTGGTATTAAAGGTGTGCACCATTGTTCCCAAGTTCGCTCTTTTTATTGTGTGTGTAGTCATGCCATGGAGCAGGTGGAGGTCAGAAGACAATTTAAATTGGTTTTCTCGACAGGCATTGGTGGCGCACACCTTTAATCCCAGCACTCGGCAGGCAGAGGCAGGCGG